AAAAAAAAATCCTATGACCTGTAGTGTCCAGGGTCTTTGGCTCTGCAGAAAACCCTTTTCTGGTTATTTTCCACTTGAAAGGAGGGAGCATGTAATCAGTTCTGTCTTTGTTTGTCTGTCTGTTTGTTACCAGTCAGTTACCACTTTGCCTGGTATATGATGTCTCCTTAAGTTTTCCTTTATTTCACAGTGGGGGCATTTGTAAGAAAGGACTTGCCCTTGTGCTAAAAATATCCCCAGATTCTCCTCAGTGGTTTTTACTTCTGTCATTTCTAAAAGTAAATCCAACCTTTTGACTGTCTTTGTTATTATTTTAACAATGTTTGCTATAGTCCCACATGTAGTATGTCAATAATAACAGTTATCTTATTAAAAGTACTCAAACTCTTTTTCCTGCCACAGCCGAGGCCCACACGAGGTCGAATGCGGATCCACTGCCTGGAGAACGTCGACAAAGCACTGCAGTTTCTTAAAGAGCAGAGGGTTCACCTGGAAAACGTCGGTTCCCATGACATTGTGGATGGAAACCATCGCCTTACCCTGGGCCTTATCTGGACCATCATCCTTCGCTTTCAGGTAAATTTAAAACACAGATTCATCGTGACAGATTATAGCAGTGTGGACATCTGATGAGCCAACTTTGTCACTGTATAGAGAAAAGGTGCTTTTATTGTATTCCAGGATATGAAGTGTTTCTTTACGGATGTAATATTTGAATGCTGGTTTTGCGGAAATTTGCTGTGCAAAGTTGCTGTGATCAGCAGTGCATCGTTTATCTCTTGGTGGTTTGGGGAAGGCTGTCACATGCGCTGCGTCACCAGTGTGCGACAGCCGTGTTTAGTGGATGAAGCCTTAATGTCACTCAGTGTCTGACCGGCAGCAGTCGCCTTCCAGTCTGCTCTTCAGCAAGGACACACGGGCACACTGTTTTATTTACCTTACCTGAGCTGGCTTTCATCTGCCTCATCGCGCACCCTCTGGCATGTACATACCACACACATGCACACACTCACACACAGGGTTCCAGGCCTCAGCAGCAGTGATACAGGATCACCTTCTTCCCTGTAAGTACAGCAGAAATCTATGGCTTCTCTTTATATTGCTTCAGTGCTACAGCGTGGCATTGGCTCACACTGCTAACATGACATTATTCTGATGCCTCTGTAACATTCACGGTGCACAGTCGCCTATCAGCTTTTCTCCTGGGACTGAGTATTGTCATGCTAGACCTGGCTACCCACCACAAAGCACATTTGCCAGCACTGCTAATAGAATTATCTTGCAGCGTGTGCAACCCTCTGCAGGCCATGCTCATGAGACAGAGAGGATCAACGTTCACTGTGTGCAAGACAGCTCACTGATACAGAAATCTGCAGATACAGAAATCAATAAGTGATTATTACCGCGTGATGGTTGTGTTTTTGGTAGCGTTTACATACATGCATGTCATCCTATCTGTAAGTGCTAACATGACCTTTTTGAAAGAATTCTGATAAAATTTGTAGGGGTGTAGAGACAGAGGGTCATGTTAGCAATCCATTAACTAATTTGCCCAACATCCAACAAGGTCTCCAAGGTCAGCTTAATGATTTCTTGGTTGCAAATTGATGAAAAAGCCTCATAACTTCGAAACTATGTTTGTAATAAGTGTGGTGTGTACTGTCAACACGTCGACAGTACAACATATAGGAATATTGGGAGTTATATATATGGGGATTCTAAATGTCGCTTTGGACCTCTGACCTTGTTCAACGTCAGATAAAACCAAACCTTCATAAAATCCCTTCATCTTTAAAAATGGTTAAAACAACAAATGGAACTTGTATGTTCAAATTGCCCCCAAAATGCATTATATCTTTGAAAAAGCATTGTGATGAGAAGGAGAACGAGCAGCTTAGTTTTTTAGAAACATACTGTAGTTTTTTTGGGGGGTTTTTTTGGGTTTTTTTTCGCCTGTCCCATTTGGTTCTTTAGCCATCAGAATTGTTGTCTGAAGACCAACAAGGAT